TCAGCCTATCAAGCCTCAGGGATTACAGGTGTGTGCCACCACAACTGGCTGTCATTCTGCTTTTAAAGGCCCTCACGGAGAACCTCCCATTACTCAGTCCAGCACGCACTCTGGAGTACTGATCTTGACCTTTCTCAAAGTCAATTTTACTTGACCTTCACAACCCTCCACACAGTTGTCAACCCCTCCCACTTGTAACTGTCCTCCCTGGGTTTGTGTTGTCGCTACACTCTCTTGTTGTCCTTCTCCCTTCCTGGCTGTCCCTTATGTTGTCATCATATCCTTTTCCACAGGGAAAACCCTCCCGTGTCAGAGGTGCTCAAGGGATGAGCCTGGCTGGTGTTAGCTTTCTCCCATAACCCGTTAGGTGACGTGGCAGCATAAATACTGCTCCAAGAAACTGATTTCAGATTTAGATATCAATACACACATGCATGTGAATGAGGGCTGCAACACGAGATGAGATGCCTATCTCACCAGAGGACATGGTGCCACAGTTTAAAAGCTATTGCTGTGCGATTCCTGTTTACTTCTTAAGCCCAGAAATCTTCTGGGAATTTAAGATTTGCATGTATCCAGCCTCTTACTTCACACCTCCTCTTAGACATACTCTATGGAGACCTTAAACTCAAGTCCAAAATCAAACTCAAGACCTTCATCCCAAACCTAGGTTTTCTCCTCTGCCCACTATCTCAGGCAAAGACCCCACTATCTAATTGCACAAGATGAAAAACTGGGGTCAGCCTTGGTATTTAACATTTTTTTTCAGTCCATGACACATAGAACTCTAGGTCTAACTGACATAAATCTTTAAACATCTCTTTTTCTTGCGGCTTCTCCGTCCATCTCCACCTTCCAGCTCCAAGGTATCCCCTCATTCTTACTGGGTAAAGTGTACTCCATTTCCACTGGGACTCTCCTCTGACCCATTCATTCTCCACAAGCTATCTCAGAGGATATCTTAAAAACACACCCCTAGGGCTGGGGGTGGAGCTCAGTGGAAGAACAGGCTTGCCCACCGTGTGTGTGTGTGTGTGTGTGTGTGTGTGTGTGTGTGTGTGTCACCCTGGGGTCCAGACATACACACACACATACACACACACACACACATACACACCAAAGCAAAGCAAAAAACTTGAATTCAAACCAAAGAAACCAAACCAAACCAACCAACCAACCAAAAAAAAAAAAAAAAAACTCTACAAAACAAAATCAAAAAACACCAAAAACACAAACTCTATATCACATGATTCCCTTTCTTAAAAATTCTCCATTGGCTCCTCATCATTCTTAGACTCAAATTCTTTTTTTTTTTTTTTGATACTGGGGATTGAACCCAGGGGAGCTTAACCACTGAGCCACATCCTCAGCCCTTTTTAAAAATATTTTATTAGAGACAGGGTCTCTCCGAGTTGCTTAGCGCCTGGCTTTTGCTGAGGCTGGCTTTGAACTTGAAATCCTCCTGCCTCAGCCTCCTGAGTGGCTGGGATAACAGGTGTGCACTACTTTACCGGGCCATCCCATCCTTCTTTAATTTTTAAATTTTGAGACACAGTCTTGCTACCTTGTCCAGGCTGGTCTTGAGCTTGCAATCTTCCTGCCTTAGCCTCCAGAATAGCTGGGATTACAGGCATAAAGATCCAGCTTTAGACCCAAATTCTTTTTTTTTAATATTTATTTTTTAGTTTTCGGTGGACACAACATCTTTATTTTATTTTTATATGGTGTTGAGGATCGAACCCAGCGCCTGCGCATGACAGGCAAGCGCGTCACCGCTTGAGCCACATCCCCAGCCCCCAAATTCTTTTTATTTTGTACTGAGGATTGAACCCAGGGGTGCTTAACCACTGAGCCACATCCCCAGCCTTTTTAAATATTTTATTTTGAGACAGGATCTTGCCAAGTTGCTTGGGGACTTGCCTAATTGTTGAGGCTCACTTTGAACTTGAAATCCTCCTGCCTCAGCTTCCTGAGCTACTGAGATTACAGGCTTGAGCCACCACACCTGGCTAGACCCAAATTCTTAATGGCTTAGCAGACACCCTGGGGGCTCTAGCCTCTTCTTCTGCCACTGTCTCTCTCCCCTTCTCTGCACTGTAGACACACTGGTTGTGCTGGGTGTGGTTCCTTGGCAGACAGCATCCATTTCCACTCTGTCGCTTTCCTGTGCTACAGATGCTAGAAAGCTAAAACTCTTTCACAGTTAGGGCTTCAGCAATGACATGTATTGGCATGAGATTTGGAAGGTGGAAGGGAGGCAGGAGTAAGCCACAGTTTTGGCTGTTTGACTTGTAAATTCAGTTTTACATTGCTTAAGTGAGGGGGTGCATTCTGGAATTGTATCATTCAATGATACTATAGTGTGAACAAGTTAGTAACTCTTGCCATCCCTTAATCCCCACCACCTCTCACATTTAAATCTTTATATATCCTTTCTATCTCACTTTAAACATTTTCCATGGGAAGTTATCCCTGGCCCTTCAGACTGGACCAGCTCTCCCTATTAAAACAGGGATTTCACCTTGTATGTTTGCTTTTTTTTTTTTTTAATTGTAGATGGACACAATATCTTCATTTTATTTATTTATTTTCATGTGGTGCTGAGGCTCTAACTCAGTGCCTCATATGTATGAGGCAAGTGCTCTGCCACTGAGCCACAGTCCCAGCCCCACCTTGTATGTTTCTTTCAATGCTTTTTTTGTAGAGGGGTTGCATGCAGCTGAAGCAAATGTGGGGTCCACAGCAATTAGTCCTTGCCCACCAGCAGGAAGGATTTCAAGCAAGTCACGGAGTAATAAGCAGGAATTTAATATTAAAGGTGAAAGATAGCGCATCTATCCATCTTCCAGGGTTTGGGTCCCTTTGTTCTTGACTCATTTTTCATACCTCTCCCGTTTTTGATTGATAAATGGTTTATTATTATCCTCTTATTTTGTGTAGTTCTCAGCCAATTTTCTTTGTGAGGGTCCTGATGACCTGGTTACAAGAGAGAACTATGACTTACTTTGGGGGTCTTGGAACAATAGTTTCCTTAAGGGGTTATAATTAACTATGACTGGGGGGGGGGGGGTTGGCATACCCGTTCCCATTTTCCAGATGTTTGTCTGCTTTGATAAAGTTCCCTCTCAATCCCCAGTCCTGTGCCTTGTGTGTGTGCCGTCCTCCCTGTAAGTTACCTCCCCATCATGCTCCCTGACGGGCCTACTCATGGCTGGCCACCCAACACATTAACACAGTCTGATGATATATTTGATTCTAGAATTAGACCCCAGGGAGTTGCTCCCTGCGACATTCCATTGCTGAGAAAGGGAAAAGGGTTGGTGCTTCGCATACATGGGCTGAAAGAGGAACGAAATGGAGGAGGCTGAGGCAAAATTGCATTCTTAGATAGGCCGAGGAGCCCCATGTCACCTCTTTTTGGTCTTTCCAACCTTGGCTGTGACCCGCGGCCAGCTGGAATGCTCGGTGAGCTCTCTGCGGGCGGTCTCTGCTTGGGCAGCTCTCCCCTCTTGGCCCTCTCATCCCGTGGGTTTCAGGCAAGGTGCTGCCTCCTAGGGAGAGCTTTGCTTCAGACGTTTCTATACTGGCTGGCTGGTTTCTTCCCCAGGACAAATACCTTTTTTTTTGAGCCGGCAAAAAAAGGGTGTGTGTGTGGGGGGCGTCTTGCTAAATTGTCCAGGCTGGCCTCTGCTTCAGTCTCCCCAGTAGCCGTGATCGCGGGCCATCAACCCAATATCTTAAGACGCTGTACATGACTGTAAAGCCTGCCCGCTCGGCCACCGGCTCCCGTCCGGGCAAGCGCCCTCCTTGCTCGTGGCGGCTCTGCAGAGCCCGGCAGGGCCCCGCTCGGAGGGCCCCCCAGTGCGTGGCATGAATCAGCTAGTCAGCCAGCCTTAGGCAGGGGCTCCCACGAACAGTGAAGAATTGTAACTTGGGGGCTGCCTGATCTGGGGAGGAAGCCGGGGGAGGCTAGCTGGGCTCCAGCCCCTGGCTCAGTCCCTGGGTTGCTGGGCAGGCGGCCCTGGAGCGGATCCTGTGGGGGATGGGCAGGGAAACAGTTTCTTCCCCGGCTGCTCCTGGAGAGTGGGGGGCGGAGCGCGGGAGGGAAGGTCCCTTCCACCGTGGCGGTGTCTTGGCGCTGAGCCAGCTGCACGGAAGGGGGTGGGGAGTCTGGTGAAAGCAGGCTTTCTCCCGGCCAGCGGCCTCCAGGGCTGTCAGAGGGAGGGAAACTGCTGGCGGAGGAGGGGGAAATGGGGGAACCGGGAGGGCGGGTCTGGTTGCTGTGGGACACAGGAAGGAGAGGGGCTGAGCTGGCCCTGGAATCTCAAGAGCCTGCCTACCAGGCCCCAGATCAGCTCAAATCACTGAGCCAGAGAATCAATATACTGGAAAAATTTTAACTCTTTATCAGAGCTAGAAAGTCCTTCGGAGGGTTTTTCTAGGGTCTGCAGAGAACTGAACCCAGGAGTCCAGACGTGGACCCTATTCTGCCCACAGGCCCAAAGGTCTGGGAGAGGAGTTCGCAAAAAGTGTCAGCTGAGATATTTCTCCCTCTCCACCAGAACCCCTTCTCCTGTTCAGCTGGAAGAGATGGCATTTTTCTAACAGCCAAGATGCTTTGTATCCCATTCATGGCACTTAAGATAATTGCCCACATCTCATTTTCCTCTTCCCCACTGGTCTGCAGTCCCTGAGGGCAGTCCAGTCATCAAACCTAGCCGTCCATCAGAAATGCTTGCGGAAGCTTGCTCCAGTGAGTCAGTCTTTGGACCTGGGTCGGGGCTTGAAACGTGCGTTTTAACAGTATTCCAAGTGACTGATGCTGCACTGAGTTTAGGTAAGAACTCCAGTGGGCCTGGCACAACAGTAGGTGCTAAGTGCTGCCTGCAGGGGCGGCAAATACATTTGCAGGATAAACAAATGGTGTGTAGGGAGATGCATTGAACTGGTGTCTGTGTAACTGTGCACCTAACACTTTAGAAGGAAACAGTTCACTGTGATAGCAATACAAAAGATAAATATTTATTTAGAACAAAACTTTTTAACAATTGATTTTACATTCTAAGCCACAAGGAAATAGCAAAACATATAGCAAAAGAAGACAAAAACTAAAAAGCAGTGTATTGTCTTTTCTACTTCAACTTGATAACACTTAGTTGGCCCATGCCCTCTTGCTTGGCCTATCTCCCAAGTACGCTTTACAGTTAACAGCTCACTCATAACTGGTAAACCGCCTTTCTCCTGAGGGTCAGGAGGTTGCAGATGAGCTCCAGCTAGCTCCTTCTGTAGGGTTCCTAGCTACTGAGGCTAAGGTGCAAATGTAAACCTTTGGTAGGTGTCTTTACTCAGGGGCACCCCCGTTTCTCACTGGTGTCAATGAATGAGGAAGGAGGAGGCTTCCAAAGGACCTGGCACATTTAATTCAGATATGACCCTCCAGGGAGCAATGAATACACCGTGGAGTTTGTGCCTTGGTCCCTTCCCTATCTTCCAAATATTCCAAAAACCCTGCCAAACCTTCTCTTTCTGTTCCCTCCCCCAGATTGCTCAGCTTTGCTCTGGGTTTGTCACTGTGGAGAGATCAGACTTTCTGGGCCCTCAAGTGTTGAGGAAATTGTTGTGAAGTGTGAGAGGTAGTGGGATGAGCACCGGGCTTGGGGTCGGGGGACTCTACTATGGGCTGGCTCTGGCACCAGACAGCTATGCAACTTTGACCCAGTCATTTAATCTTCATGGGTATGTTTCATCTGCTGAAAAACCAAGGAATTGGTCTAAACCAACTCTGAGGTCCTTTCCAAGTAGGAAAAATTCTAGATTCCATGATTCTATGAAAAATGGTTTCTGAGCCACCAGAAGAGCTGCCACAAAGTCCATGCATTTTTATGCCATAAGAGAGGCCCTCAGCCACCATTCAGAGCTTATTGGTTCAGATTATATACACTTCTAACAACACTGGTTCCACAAATTCTCAGACCACAGAGATTAGAAGCAGCAAATTAAAAAGGGGACGAGGGAGAGCTGCAGAAGGTAGACACTCTGACAGAAGCCATGGTCAACAATGTTTTCAATTCAACAAACACTGATGGAGCGCCTACCGGTGTTGGGCCCCGCACCTGATGCTGGGGCATAAAGATGGGCAAAGGCAGCCCGAAGGGTAAAAATCCGGGGAGAAAAAAAGGTATGGGGAGGGGCCAGTAAAATGTACAAGAAAAAAACAAAACAAAACCCAAAAAACAAATGGAAAAAAAAAGGAATTAAAAAAAACCTTCAAATACAAAAATGAAAATAAATTTAAAAAAAGGGGGTGGGGGCGACATATCTGCACGCTACATTTCTGGTAAGAGCCACCAATTCAGAACAGCCTGAAATGGAGTAAACTCGGTTTAAGAAGGCATAGAGAGATGTCTCTGGTAGGTTTTAAAAAGATCTCCTTCAAAAACGATAAAAAATGGTTTAAAAAAAAGTTTTGGCACTTAAGAGGGGTAAGCTGGCTGTGTGTTCACCCTGGCAGGCAGGCGAGCGGGCGGGCGTTCAGTGCCCCGCCACGCCGGTTAGCTGAGCCGCCACGGCATTGTGAACTGCTTTGGGACACTGGGCAAAGGCGTGTCCCCGCTTGCCACAGAGGTTGCACACGATGCCCTTCCGGCAGTAAGGGCTCAGGTGTCCCTCTTCCCCACACCTGAAACACCTGTCCTGCGTGCAGCTGCCGCTCATGTGGGTGCGGGAACCACACTTGAAGCACGTCTTGGGTTGCCCCTTGTACCAGCTGTACCCCCTCTCGGCCCCCAGGAAGAAAGCCCCCGGCAGGTGCCTGACCCCGCCCTCCCCCTGGCGCAGCTCGATCTCGCACTTGTATTCCCCGGTCCAGATCCCAAACCTGTCGGTCACTTTCACGGGCACCGCCAGCACGTCGCAGTGGCGCTTGAGCCAGGTCACGATGTCCTCCACGTCCACCGTCTCGTTCCGGAAGAGGATGAAGAGCGTTTTCAGGCTGGACTTGCTCCGCCCCAGCACCACAAAGTTCTCCCAGCAGTCCTCCTGCTCGCGCTTCTCCTCGTAGACGCGGAGGAACAGGGCCAGCTTCTCCGCCGAGCGGAAGCTCACGTCGAACTCGCGGCTGCCGGGGATCTGGATGACCGCGTAGATGTCGCTCGGGTCCATGCCGATGGAGCGCAGGATGAGCGCGCCCACTACGAAGTCCCGGGTCGGGCAGGAGCCCTCGTCACCCTGGAAACAGATGCGCACGAGGAAGCGACCTTTGCCCGGGCCCGCGACCGCCGCCTGCTCATCCTGGAGGGGCCGCTCGGCCGCGTCCTCCGCCGCGCCGGGCCTGGCGGGGACCGCCATGGCCGCCCCCGCCTCGGCCTTCTTCCTTCTGCCCGGCTCGGCTGCGCCCTTCTTCTTGCGGGGGTCGGCCGCCTCCCCCGCCGGGTCTCTCCGGCGGCCTTTCGGGTCCCCGCGACCGGCCGGGGGGAAGTCGCCTAGGCCCGGCGTCGCCAGGCCCGCGGGAGCGCTGAGTCCGCCTCCCGCGTTGCCGCCGCCTTCTTCCTCGCGCCGCGGCGCCCGCGATTCGCGGAACTCGCCCTTCTTCTCGGCCAGGTTCTTCACCACCTGGGCCCAGCCCATCTTCTCGCGCGTGCCCTCGGCGTCCTCGCTCCGGGCCGCGGGCCGCGCGGGGGGCAGAAGCTGCGGCCGGCCCCGCTTCCTCTCCTCCTCCGCGCCGCCGCCGGTGGCCATTTTACCTCCTTCCCAGCATCCTCCACTCGCTCCCGCAGCCAAAGGGCGCCCATCGCGCGCGCCCGCCCGCCCGGGGCTGTGGGGTTTGGAGTTTTTTTTTTTTTTTTGAAATTCGACGCTTCTCTCCCCCGCCCCCCCGCAGGAGTGTTTACGTGAAGCGCATATTGGACGGCGCCGGCCCCGGGCCCGCAGCGGCTGAGCCCTGTTTCCGCAGGCGCCGGCTCCGGCCCCTCCTCCCGCCGCGGGACGGGGAGCTCGGCGGCCCTGCGCCCGGGCCAGCTTGGCAGCCTCGGCCTCGCTCTCGAGGATTTGGCATTTCGCAAGCGGTCCTCGATGGTTTCATTCAAGCCGCGATGTTTAACGGCCCAGGCCGAAAGGCGGGACGGTGTAGAGGGAGATCTCGCTCATTTTGTTTGTTTTTTGGTGACTTTCAAATTTAAAAACAAACAAAAGCCACACTTAGCTGTCCCTTCCCCCGAAGTGTACCACAATGCACGATTCCCCCTCCTAACGTTGGATCAAGAGCATTTAAAAACAGAAAGAAAAAAAAAGAAAGAAAGAAATTTGCCGCTTTAACAACTTTGTTATTAACTACTGGGAATTCATCCAAGGGTTGCATTACCACCGAGCTGCATCCCAGTCTTTTTTATTCTTTGAGATGGGTCTTGCTAAATTGCTGAGGCTGGCCTCCAACTTGGAATCTTCCTGCCTCAGTCTCCCCAGTCACTGGTATTACAGGTGTGCCCCACCACATCTGTCAAAACTTTTACTGTACCTAATCCCATTATCCATTTGTCCGTCCTTATTTTTTGATGCATTTTTTCAAGTAAGTCATTGCATTTTTGTTTTTAAAAACCATCTCTTGTACTTATGATGATTATGATATATTGAGTGCTTTTTAAGTGCCCCATATTACGCTGAACATACTGCATGCAGACTTTAACACATGGACTCTTCGAAATACAGTGCTGTAAATACACTTATTTTACAAATAAGAAGGCAGGAGTTTGAAGAGAGGAGTTTGATCACTTGGCAGATTTAGGCAGTCCCATGTGTAGATAACTCTCAATAGCTACTCTCAAAGGACTACTATTAATATGTTAATAACTATCATACTAATAAATTTATCTATTCATGCATTATAGGTTCAGGTGATCACCTATGTCAAAGAGCTTGGTCCAAAGTGGATTCCTAGGAAAGTTAGTTAATTCTTCCTTTCTTCCACTGTTAAGAGTCTTTCCTGTTTCTCTAAAACATTTTCCAAATTCTACTTAGCTTTTTTTTTTTTTTTAAAGGGGATTAAATCTAGGGGGCATTCTTATCACTGAGCTATACTACCAGCCCTTTTTAATTTTTTTGGTACAGGGATTGAACCCAGGGGTGCTTAATCACTGAGCCATATCCCTAGTCCTTTTTATTTTAGACAAGATCTAGCTAAGTTGCTAAGGATCTTGCCAAATTGCTGAAGCTGGCCTCAGACTTGCAGTCTTCGTGCCTCAGCCTCTGGAGCCACTGGGAAGGATTATAGGCATGGCACTGCACCTGGCACCCCCCCCCCCCCCAGTCCTTTTCAAAAAACTTTTTTGAAACAGGGTCTTGCTAAGTTGCCTAGTATGGCCTCCAACTGAGATCCTACTGCCTCAGTCTCCCATCTTGCTGGAATTATACATATGTGCCACCACACCCAAGTTCTTCTTAGTATTTTGAGTCTTTATTACTAGCTTACCATCTTTTCCTTTGCCTCCAACACCAGGTCTCAGAAAAGTCAATAATCCCTGACTCTTGTGCCACTTGCACTTTCCAGTTCCCTTGCTTTATATCCCTAGATGCACTTTCCTCCATCCCTTCTCAGCCACTCATTCATGGTCATGTTCAGAACCTCAATATCACCATAAATATCAGTCTTAGATCCATACCTCCCACTCTCTTACTCTTTCTGCTTGCCTGCTCAAGTCTTCCCATGTGAGGATATTTACAAAACCAGCAGAACATGTATTCTAAATCACTTATGATCTTACCTAAGTCCAGGTAACAATCACATTGAAAATCCACAAGAGTCAAGGTCGGGGTCCACTGTGGCCAGATCATCCATTTCTAAAGAAGAACTTGAACTTTAGTTTCTTCTTTTATGGGAAACGTTTTTCTCCTTATGATTCTTAAGCTATATCTGGAACCTCCATATAAGTTTTAAAACTAGTCTATTAAATTCCAGAAAACCATAGCATTTTAGTTGGAATCACATTGCATTTATACAGAACTGGCATTTTATAATGCTGAGTCTCGTCATCTATGACCCTACTTGATTTATCGTTTATTTAGATCTCTTTTTTATGAAAAAAAATTTTTTTTGTATTGGGGAATGAACCCAGGGGCACTCAACCACTGAGTCACATCCCCAGCCCTTTTCTGTATTTTATTTAGAGATAGGGTCTCACTGAGTTGCTGAGCTCCTCGTTTTTGCTGAGACTGACTCTGAAATTGTGATCTTCCTGCCTCAGCCTCCTGAGCCACTGGGATTACAGATGTGGGCCACTGCACACAGGTTGAATTTCAGTAGCATAGTTTTTTTTTTTTTTCCCAGAAAAATCTCTTTAATTTTGGGATACGTTCCAAGATGTTATATGGATTAGATGCTACTGTAAGTGAAATTATCATAAATGTAAATATATTGTTTGTTGATGGTAGTTAGAGGGAACACAATTGAACTTTGAGTACTGACCCCATATTTAGCAACAAAGGTGAAACCTGAAAAATTTTCCATGGTTTCTTTCTGCCTCCTTTTTGTACTGCCATAATGGTGTGCATGCAGGTCCTAGCTGATGCTCTCAAGAGCGTTCACAGAGCTGAAAAGAGAGGCAGACGTCAAGTCCTTATTAGGCCACGCTCCAGAGTCATCTTGGGTTTCTGACTGTGATGAGGAAGTGTGGTTACATTGGCAAATTGGAAACCACTGATGATCACAGAGCTGGGAAAATGGCTGTGAACCTTACACATAGGTGGAACAAGCGAGGAGTGATCAGCCCCAGAGTTGATGTGCAGCTCAAAGACCTAGAAAAGTGGCAGAGTCACCTGTTCCCTTTTTTTTTTTGGTACCTGGGATTGAATTCAGGGGCACTCAACCACTGAGCCTCATCCCCAGCCCTATGTTGTATTTTATTTAGAGACAGGGTCTCACTGAGTTACTTAGGGCCTTGCTAAGTTGCTGAGGTTGGCTTTGAATTTGGGATCCTCCTGCCTCAGCCTCCCAAGCTGCTGGGAGTGTGTGCCAGCCATACCCGGGTCACCTGCTCCCATTTTGTCAGTTCAGGTTCATCCTATTGACACCCTCAGCTGGCATCCTGGACCATGAAAACATAGGAGGGATAATCCTGAGATCCTTTTTCCAGGGATGTAAAACATACATACAAATTAAATGCCTCAATGAAGATAAATGCCTCAAAGTAGGTTCCAGTGGTTTTGGAATCTGCTTTTCTATGTTAACAGTCCTGTTATCTGTGAATAACGAAGGTTTTGTTTTTCTTTTTAGTTGTCATGCTTTTTCTTGTCTTACTGCATCAGCCAGGACCTTCCATACTCTGCATATTTTGGACATTTTTTGCATCGTCTCTGACTTTAAAGATATCCATTTGTTGTTTGAAGAGATTTGACTTGTGGATTGGGTTCACTATATCTTTTTTTTTCCCCCCAGTACTGGGGTCTGAACCCATGCCTGAAATCTGAGGGACTTGGGAGGCTGAGGCAGAATGATTGCAAGTTTGAGATCAGTCTGGGCAACTTAGTGAGACCCTGTCTCCAAATTAAAAATAAAAAGGGCTGGGGATGTAGCTCAGTGGTAGAGCACTTATCATGTGCAAGGCCCTGGGTTCATTCCCTAACACCACAACAAACAACAGCAACAACCCAGGACAGACAGATGTGTGCAGGCTAGGCCAGGCCAACAAGTTTGCCATCTTTGGCTAAGGTATCATTATTTCCACTTTACACAGGAAACTGAGGGGGTAAAGGGACCTATCTCAGGAGTATCTCTGAGATCTTTGAGATCTAGGCCATGTCTTCCCCTCTGTCTTCACAGATGATTGCAGGGGAGACAACAGTTACCTAGTGCTCTGTAAGCACTTATCGACAGCTGGTTTTTGAGTTCTTAGGAAACTCACTATGTTAGAAAATTCTAGAATAATGGAAAGATAAGAATGAGACTTCTCTCTATCATAAGTCTGGAGGTACACAGCTCAGACCTGGTGTTGTGGCTTCACAGTCTCAGGAACAGGCTGGAGCCAAGCAGACCCGATCCGTCCTCTGTCACACTTCACCTTCACACCTGCAGGAAAGAAAGGCCACTTCATCTTGCCCAACTATGGTGAGATAGGAGATAAGTACAGATGGGCTGTATCTTCAATCTTAGTTCCAACATCAGCTTTGATGTTACAACAGTGATCATCAATGGCCCCTCAAATATGTTTTGGCCTTGATTACAAGGGCAGCATTTTACACATGCTTAAGTGTATTCATTTCTAAAATGTGAAAATGTTTATTTTGAGACAGGGTCTCGTTGAGTTGCTGAGGGTCCCAAACTTGGAATTATCTTGCTTCAGCCCCCTGAGTTGCTGGGAATACAGGCATGTGCCCAGCTGGGAGTTTACTTCTTTTTGATGAAACGGCATAGAATTTGGCCGGCAGGCAGCGTAGGCAGCTAATTGTATGTTGCAAGATTGTCAGGGGCCCAGATTTCTTCTATCTTGATCTTCTATATGTAGACTTTAGTAGGATGTTTTTGGCCTGCACGTGTCAGAAAACTCAACTCTAAATGATTCACCTAGCAAGATGATTTGTTATTTAATCTTGAGTAATTTCTAGATAGGTGACAGCGTTGGCTAACTTAATGACCCAGAAACACTATCAAGGAACAGGTTTCTGGGGCTGGGGATGTGGCTCAAGCGGTAGCGCGCTCGCCTGGCATGCGTGCGGCTGGGGTTCAATCCTCAGCACCACATACAAACAAAGATGTTGTGTCTGCTGAAAACTAAAATAAATAAATAAATAAAAATTCTCTCTCTCTCTCTAAAAAAAAAAAGGAACAGGTTTCTCCAACTTTCCCCTGTACCATTCTCAGTATATCCTCTTTGGCCAACTCTCCTTACAATTCCACAATCCAGGAATCCTGAGAAGACATGACAATATTTACTAGCAGATAAAGGATGATTTTCTGCACCTTTTTTTTCATTTTAGGTTGACACAATATCTTTATTTCATATTTATGTAGTGCTGAGGATTGAACCCAGTGCCTCATGCATACTAGGTGAGCGCTCTACCACTGAGCCACAATCCCAGCCCCTCTGCACTGTATTTTAAAAAGAGTGTTTAAAACCTTTCCCCAAAGTCTCTGAGTAGACTTCTCTCCCTGCCTCCTTGGCCGGACTCTGATTGCCTATGACTAGCTCTGAATCTGGTAAGGGTAATGGGCCTACAGAGCCTATCTCAGACCAATCATAACTACTGGAGCTGGGACTGGGGCTGGGGCCACCTTCTCTAAAAAAAAAATGCATAATGGACAAGGTCAGGGTCTATTAATTGGGATGGAGTAGAAAACAGTTGTTGGGTAGGCCGCCACCTGGGTCTACCATATATTGCTAACTGCTTTTTTTTTTTTTTTCCTTTGGTACCAGGGGTTGAACTCAGGGGCACTTGACCACTGAGCCACATCCCCAGCCCAATTTTATATTTTATTTAGAGACAAGGTCTCACTGAGAGTCTTGGTACCTTGCTTTTGCTGAGGCTGGCTTTGAACTCACGATCCTCCTACCTCAGCCTCCTGAGCCACTGGGGTTTTAGGTGTTCGCCACCACGCCTGACGCTACTTGCTATTTTTTAATGGTTTCCTGGTACAGAGAGCTTTCCAGTCAGAGTGCTGTAGTACAGTGGGCTCTGCAAATGGGAGTACCCCAAATAGTGATTCCCTCACATTCAGGGGCAGCCAAGAGGGGCCTGGGTAGCTGGAATGCCCAGGCTTGTTGCTTTTGCCATAGTAGCCTTTTCTGTTTACCCTGGTGGGCAGTGCCGTTTGAAACATTCTCCCAAGATTTTTACTTTTTTTTTTTTTTTGATACTTGGGATTGAATCCAGGGGTGCTTAACTACTGAGCCACATCTCCACCCCCTTTTTGTATTTTATTTAGAGATACAGGCTCGCTGAATTACTTAAGGCCTTGCTAAATTGCCGAGGCTGGCTTTGAATTAGTGATCCTCCTGCCTCAGCCTCCAGGGCTGCTGGGATTACAGGCATGCACCACCATGCCCGGCTTCTCCCATGATTTTCAAGAGGTATAAAGGTTGGAGCTGGCCATAGTGGTGCACGCCTTTAATCTCAATGACTTGGGAGGGTGAGGCAGGAAGATTACAAATTCAAGGCCAGTCCAGCAACTTGAGGAGGCCCTACGCAATTTCGACCTCATCTCAAACAAACAAGCAAGCAAACAAATAAACAAATGGGCTGGGGAGGTAGCTCTGTGACAAAGTTCTCCTTTGTTCAATCACCCCCTTTTGCATGTGCAGGTTAGAGATTTCTATTAGACACCCAAGTGGAGATGTCAAGTAGGGGGTTGGATGTTCGTGGATGGAATTCATGGGGGAGTTCTGGGCTGGAGATGTGAGTTTGTGTGAATACAGATGACATCCACAGTCAAGACCCTGGAAGGGAGCAGGAATGAAGTAAGAGAAAAAGAGGGAGAGGGTGGAGACTGAGCCCTGGGATGCTTTAATAATAAAAGAGAAGGAGCCAGCAAGGAAACTGAAGGGAGAGTGACTTCCTGGACACCACATAAAGAAAATATGTCAAGGGAGGGAGTAATCTGCCATGTTCAATGCTGAAGGCAGGCTAAATTAGGGGAGAACTGGAAAGTGACCAAGGGATTTAGGAAAGAGGAGGCCACTGATTTGTTGACAAGGGTAATTCCAGTGATGAGGTAGGGAGTGAAAATCCTGAATTTTGGGGAAAGGAATAGGAATCCACAGGCAAACCTCTTTAGGAGTTTTGCTGTAAAGTGAAGCAGAAAAGAGGGTACAGCTGGAGAAGTGGTTCGTATTTATTTTTTTCATTCTGTTGGAGGGATGAACCCAGGGCCTGTGCATGCTGGGCAATCACTCTACCACAGAACTACAATCCCACCTCTCACTGTTTTTTTTAAATACAAGAAATGAAAACATTCGCTATACCAATGGGATGATGAAAAGGAGACGGAAAACGATGATGCAGGAGAAAGAGGGGGCAAATGTTGGGCTTATGTATTTGAGAAAATGACAGTGTGTAAGATTAAGTGTAGAAATAGGTTTTAGTAGGCAATTAATACATAGTTAAGAAAAGGAGGCTGCAGGTATGGCTTAGGGATACAGCGCTTGTCTAGCATCTGTGAAACCCTGGGTTTGATCCCCAGCAACACACACACACACACACACACACACACACACACACACACACACAGTTAAGAGAAGGGAGGCAAGTGGGAAGGTAAATGAAACGTGACTTTGTGTTTACTATTTTCCACGATTTTCTTAGTAAAATTGGGAATGAGGATGAGGGAGAAAGTGATGGAAGTTCGATGAGAGTGGAGAAATATAATTTTTTAGAATTGCGGGCGGGGCAAGGTGAGAAATATTTGAAACCGAGCTGCGATGAATGCGGGGTGTGCTATTAGCTTGCGCGATTAGTCCCTCTAGGCACTCCGTAGTCGGTTTCCTTGGAAACCGAGACGCGCGAGCGCGAGAAAGCACACTGTCTGTGGGAAATTTGATTGGCTTGGGTTGCCGCGATCCGCTCCAGATAAAAAAAGCTGGAGAAGCCGAACAGGCATCTCAGAGATCAAGGACCCACGGACTCAGAACTCTACACTTTTCCTCAATGGAGTACGACTTTCAGAAGTAGAAAGGAGCGGGGTGGCGGCGGGGGTGGACTGCGCATGCGCATCCCATTCGCTAACCCCGCCTTCTCCTTGAAGGGCCCAAGTCCTCTGGCCACGCCCCCACCCCGCCCACACCTGAGAGCCCCGCCTCGCTCATTCTGGCGATCTCCCAGCTCTGCTCCGCTGTGGTACCTGGTCCCCCGGGTTGTAGGGTAGAGACTGCACACCAATTTCAAGTGTGTTGCATACTCCTCCTTGGGCTGGGGATGATGGAAGTTCTTTCTCGCCCCAACTCTTTCCAGATCTAGCCAGAATGGGAGTCAGTCCAAACCCAAGTCCCACGTTCTGGTGAGTCCGGGAGGTCTGGGCGGGAAGGGAGGGTTTACGATGCTGCAGCCCGCCTGCCTTCACCTCCCACGGCTGGGACTGCCCGCGTGGTAGGGTCTGGAGACCTGAATTCCGGTCTCAGCTGTGTCACACTTTTGCTGTGGGACCCTGAGGAAGGCTCTGAACCTCATTTTTCTCTAGTCACTACTTTATCAGAATGTAAGGGTATATTCATGTCTACTCTTCTGGTTCCCTAAGAGGTGGGTATTGGGTCTTCCCATACATTCTGTTTCTTGGCACCTCACAGCCTGGATATGCTCAGTAAATTCAGGGTGACCCATAAAATTTATGGAGCACGCACTACGAGCTTTAAGAATATCATCTCTTGGAATTCTTGCATCAACCCATAGTTAGGTTGTGTTATTAGATCCACTTTGCCGACGAGGAAATTGAGGCTCAGAGAGCTAACATCACTTGCTCGAGGTCATGGATACCTATAAAGGGTGGAGTGAAACTTGAATTCACCGTGCTGTGTGACTGATTGTGTTTTGTCTGGTTGCATTGGGTCCCATGGCAGTGGTCCACGCAGAAAACCAAGCCATCTACTCTACCTCCACTTGGACAAGCCAGCATCCACGCTAAAAGAAAAACGAAGAGTTTGACTAAAGTCCAGTCAGGTGAGCAGAGGCACTTGGGGGCTGGTGTGGGTAATGGGGACAAATTAGAGTGGCTGCTCTTGGCCCTTGGTGACACTATTCATATTAAGATAGGCTCACTGATGTAACAGACAACCTCCAGATTTCAAGTATTAATACAGAAGCTTATTTCTTATTAATGTCAAAGCACCTTTGAAGATCCGAGGAGAATCTATTCCATGTGGTCTTCTGTTCTCCTTGACCTTATACCTCTGATATTTTATGAGGCTTTGAAGTCGTCTGTAGGATATTTCTGTGTCTAGTTGGTAGAGAGGGAAGGGAGAGGGCAAGAACTTGAATGGTTTTGTGGGTAGTTGTTTTAGGGGCCCAGACATGAAGTGACCTATTTCCACACATGTCCCAGAGCCATAACTCAGTCACATGACCCCTAACCATAAGAAAAAATGGGAAATGCAGTCCAGCTGTGTGTCCAGGAGCAGGGAAAAGACAGGGTTTGGTGAACTCATGGGATCATCTCTGCCATATTGTTGTCATGCTTTCCAGGAAGTTTTGAGGCTTGGGATCAGACAGGTGTAGGTTCAGATCTTGACTTTGAAATTTAAACATTTAGAAAGTCACTCATCTCATTGAGCCTCAGGCTTCTCATTTGTGGAATGGGGACACCAAAAGGTTTGTATTAAGAATATCCATGTAAAACATTATTGCTCAGCCTTATCACACTCAACATTCCTTTTAATAACAGATATTTTGAAATTTTTCTTTCTTTCTTTTTTTTTTTTTTTTTGGTACTGGGATTGAACTCAGGGGCACTTGACCACTGAGCCACATCCCCAGCCCTATTTTGTATTTTATTTAGAGACAGGGTTTCACTGAGTTGCTAGGCACCTCGCTGTTGCTGAGGCTGGCTTTGAACCTGCCGTCCTCCTGCCTCAGCCTCATGAGTTGCTGGGATTACAGGCATGTGCCACCATGCCCGGTTTGAAATATTTCTTGAGTATCCTGAATGAACTGCATACTTGTTAAAACCTACCTGTGCACACCTGCATGTACAACTGCTCACACCTCCTCACTGCCCCTGAGTGAGGAACAGAAGGTCAGTTTCCTGGGGCAACACTGATGTCTACCACCTTGTGCCTTATTGATGCTGCATGGGGGTAGAGGCTCAGATTCCCACTGGGCTCTGCTGACCTGTGGGCAGAGGGAAGGAATGAAGCTCAGAGGTGACAAGTCTTACCTCACACCACTTTTTTCAGTCTCCTTAGTACTAGGTAGGAGTAGAGGCTAGAATTCCTGCTGGACCCTGTGATGCTACCCTTAGTCAGCACCAAAAAACCTGCTTCTGCCATGCTGGGGTTAGAAGCTCAGTTGCCCAACCAACTCTGTCAGCGCTGTTCCAGGTGAGGATTGCAGCACTTCCAGGCAGGGGTGAAGGATCAGCTCTCTGCTGTGCCCAGCCAGCTCTACCCAGGGAGGGAAAGGGAATGCCTCCATACAAATATGCTCCACTAATTTTGAAAAAGGTGCAAAAACAATTCAGTAGAGGAAATAATTCAGATGGGGTGGAGCAATTGGACTTCTATGGACAGAAAGAAGGAACCTCACCTTTCCCAGACCTGTGAACCTCAAGTTAAGCCTCGCTACTTAATAAAAAAATTAACTCAAAATATAAATGTAGAAATGCATAAAAATTAAATGTAAAACATAAAATGTTAACCTAGAAAAAGGCAGGAGAAAACAATCTTTGGAGCCTGTGGCTAAGTGAAGAATTCTTGGACACCACACCAGCAGCCTAGTTTATGAACTGAAAAATGAAAAATGGAAAGTGGGCTTCATCGAAATGAACAATTTTTGTTCTATGAAAAAAATAATTTTTAACCTTTATTTCATTTATTTTTATTTTTGTGTGGTGCTGAGGATCAAATCCAGGGCCTCACATGTGCTAGGCAAGTGCTCTACCACTGAGCCACACCACCAGTACCCCCCACTTTTTCATGGTACTGAGGATTGAACCCAGGGACGCTCTGCCCCTGAGCTGCATCCCCAGCCCCTCATTTTATTTTTTATTTTTTTTTTTGAGACAAAGGGTGTTGCTAAGTTGCCCAGGCTGGCCTCCAATTGGTAACCCTCCTGCTTCTGCCTCCCAAGTCACTGATATTACAGGCATTTACCACTGTGCTGGGCTTAAAAAATCCTTTTACGTGAATGAAAAGACCACCTACAAATCTGGAAAAGATATTTGCAAACGATGTATCTATAAAGGACTTGTATTTGGTAGACTATTATCCAGAACTCTCAAAACAGTAAAATAGCTGGGTGTGGTGGCGCAAGCCTGTAATACCAGCAGCTCGGGAGGCTGAGGCAGGAGGATCACAAGTTCAAATCCAGCCTCAGCAACGGCAAGGCTCTGAGCAATTCAGTGAGACCTTGTTTTTAAATAAAATACAAAACCGGGCTGGGGATGTGGCTTAGTGGTTGAGTGCCCCTGAGTTCAATCCCTGGTACCTATTGCCCTTCCCCCCAAAAAGATCCCAGTAAAATAGACATTTCAATTAGACAGTTGGCAAAAGACGTGAAGAAACATTTCACCAAAGAGGATCTGCTGATAGTAAATAAGCACATGAAAAGATTCTCAACGTCATAGCCACTAGGGAAATGCAAATGAACCACAATGAAATATCACTGTGTACCTATCAGAATGGCTAAAATAAAAATAGTGAAAACATCAAATGCTTATGAATGAGGAGAAACTGGATTGGGCATAAATTGTTGGTGGGGCTATGAAATGGCTCAGGGAATGAGTATGGTAGTTTCCAACACAATTCAGCATGCGATTTCCAGATGACCCAGCAATTGCACTCTTGGGGATTTATTCCAGAAAATTGAAAGCTTCTGTTCACACAAAAGCTGGTCCATGAATGCTCGTGTCTTAGCACCCTTATCCATAATCCTCCAGTCTGGGTTGGACATCTCCAAGCCCAGATGACCTTCCACAGGTGAGTGTGTGGACAGACGAAGGGGGCTCTGTTCCATGGACTGCCGAGCAGCAGTCATCAGGAAGAAGGATGATGCCTTCAGCAACCCCCATGACTCTCCAGAGAGTTCTGTTGAGTGAAAAAGCCAACCAAACCTTCCATGTTGTATGATGCCACTTATGTAACATTGTGGGAATGACACTCTTATAGAAATGGAGAGCGGATTAGTGATGGCCAGGGGTTAGGGACAGAGTTGGTGGGGGGTGATAATGGGAGGGGAAGTGGGTGTGGTTATAAAAAGCCGCAGTTGGGACCCTCCTGGTTATGGAAGGGTTCTGTCTGTATCTTCATGTCCATATCCTGTTTGGGATATTGTACGGTATTTGTTCAAGATGTTTGTTGCCATTGGGAGACTGGGTAGAGTGCACAAAAGATCTCTCTTTTTCATTTCTTAAAACTGCAGTGTTGGGCTGTAGCTGTAGCTCAGTAGTAGAGCGCTTGCTCAGCATGTGTGAGGCACTGGGTCTGATTCTCAGCACCCCATGTGAATAAATGAATAAAATACAGGACCATCAACAATTAAAAAACAAAAACAAAACTGCCATGTCGCACTCCTGTAATTGTAGCGACTCAGGAAGCTAAGACAGGAGGGTTGCAAGTTAGAGGCCAGCCTCAGCAGTTTAGTGAGGCCCTAAGCAACTTAGTGAGACCCTGTCTCAAAAAAATTAAAAAGGGTTGGGGTTGTGGCTCAGTGGTAAAGCGCTCCTGGGTTCAATCCCCAGGACCAAAACAAACACCTCTCCAAGGCCCCCCCACCAAAAAAGAGCCCCAAACCCCAAACAAGCATGTGAATCTGAATTTATGTGAACATAAAAAATTTAATTATAAAAGATAAGTCATGGGGCTGGGGATATAGCTCAGTTGGTAGAGTGCTTGCCTCGCATGCACAAGGCCCTGGGTTCAATCCCCAGCACCACACACACAAAAAGATAAGTCATGGCTACTTAGTAGTGATAAAAATAAGCAAATAAGTATTATTAAATCTACAAATCTTCCTTAAGCATTTAGGAAGATTTAGAATCTTATAATTTTTATAAACACTTGTAAGAGGGATTTTGGAACTTGGTTAATTAAATTTCCCTAAACCTTTTTAAGCCACATTAAAAAATTTAATATTTTAATTTTCAAATAGTTCCTGCATGTGATTAACAAAAACCATTGGGTATTTAAATAATTCTTGTTTATCTAATAAATAAACTTCTAAATATGGGTAATGTTATGTTCTCTTGAAAGTTTCTGTAATTTATACACATTTAATTATTAACTTTAAGGCAAAAATCTCATTTATACCTTTAAGATTGGAATCATAGGGAAGGGGGAGAGCCAGGCGGAGTAAAGGTCTCTGCCGCCGAAGCCCCGCGTTGGGGCGTGACAGTAGTCCCGAAAGGCCTAGCCCCAGTCGGCTGGCAGCACGGGTGAGAGGGGGCTGCGAGAGAATGGTCAGCCAGGTAGGGACAGAGGAGCCAAGCGGAAGACCCGGGCTGGGGAGCGCGGCTTCATCCTGATGCCCTGACCCGAGGGCGGCTGCCTGGGGTGGGTACCAAGCCCAGCTCGAGTTTAGACCACTCGTCAAGTCTCGGGAGAGCGCGCAGCACCCGGGTTAGCGGTCAGAGCATGAGGGGCTGCGTCTGGAGGGAATGACAGAACTGTGTGAACAGAAGAACCTGCGGGGCTGGAGAGCAAACCCAGGGACCTTATACTAGTTTCTCTGGAACAAGATGGGATACCACTCTGGAAGTTTCGTGTAGCCTTTAGGAAAAATTTCATCTTTTTCTTCTGTAAGCTGTCACCATGACCCTGACAAAAGGTTCTTTCACCTACTCCAGTGGGGAGGAATATCGTGGAGAGTGGAAGGAGGGCCGCAGGCATGGTTTTGGTCAACTGCTGTTTGCAGATGGTGGGACCTATCTGGGTCATTTTGAGAATGGGCTCTTTAATGGCTTTGGGGTACTGACCTTTTCAGATGGTTCAAGGTATGAGGGGGAGTTTGCCCAGGGCAAGTTTAATGGCGTCGGAGTCTTCATTCGGCATGACAACATGACCTTTGAGGGGGAATTTAAAAATGGTAGAGTAGATGGTTTTGGCCTGCTGACTTTCCCTGATGGTTCTCATGGAATACCCCGCAACGAAGGTCTATTTGAGAACAATAAGCTGCTGCGGAGGGAGAAGTGCTCTGCGGTAGTTCAGCGGGCCCAGAGTGCCTCCAAGTCCGCCAGAAATCTCACTGCTTGATGAGGCAGTGGGCACAGCTGGAATAGTGTCAGTAAAGCCCATGACCACCTGAGATGAACAGAATGAGCCAGATTTCAGATGAGATGAGGATGACCACGGAGCCAAAGCCTGTGATGTGCCCCATCACCTGCCAATCAGCAATTTGATCACAGAAAGTGCTAAGGATTTTGGCCAAAAGACCCCTCAGTGGTTAGCAGTTCTGTCTTTTCTTGATGCTTATTTGCTGAAGACAGGAGCTGTGTTTTCTTACTTGTCGACATTTCCTATTCCTGAGACCTGGGGTTACCCAGTACAGAGTGGCTGCGGCCTTCACTCCATTTACTGCCAAGTGATTCAGAATCTCCTCATTCTGCCTATGTTTGGGGCACATGACCCTAGCCCCCATAGGGCCAATGCTGTGTGCTGCCCTGGCAAAATGAGGTACAAGATAGACAGTACAGTGACCCTGTGAAAGTCGGGCCAGAACTTCTCTGTACATGAGCCCCTCATTCAGTGCAGTTTGAATCCTGACTCCAGGCTCCAACTTTGTCTGATCAGACTAGTCTTTGTGTCTGCTTATTTCCCCTGTGAAGGATCTGGTAAGAGTGTTGTTTTCTTCTTTCTTGACTTTACAAGTCATGTTCCTTACCTGAGTTAGGGCATATAATCCAATCTCCATTTGTGTCTCTCCGTTCTTAGAGTCTATCAGAGAGAATTCCTTTGTGGCATAGTCAAGAAAGAAACTGATGTAATAGTAACCTCATAAGTTGTATTCATTACTCACTCCAGGTCAAGGGGCAGACATATCCAGCCTCAAGGCCTTCCTGGGGAGTGGACTAAGTGCTGGGGAAGGCCTGCATCGACACAGTTCTTTCCCTGTAGGTGGTGGATCAGACTCACCTACACCCCTGGGTGTAGGTAGACTTACACCCACCCTGGGACTGTGGTGAACTAAAAGCATTGGCTGTTCCTCGCATTTGACTTGCTATAACTCTCCCACCAAGAGCCTTGATCTTCAGGCCTTGGTCAGATTTTGGAAGGTGGAATCCCTATACAGTTCATCATGAGGCCTCCAGTTACCACAGGACCCAGACATACCCCCAGCTCCCATCCTCACACCGAATCTCCCTCAACAGCAGACTATGGTGGAAATTATAACCGTGTGCCTCTATTTATTCTGTGAACTGTATTGTAGAATCAAGTGTTCATAGAAATAAACAAATCACCAGATCTGCCTATAAAAAAAAAAAAAGAAAGATTGGAATCATAGGATTTAACCTATTAGTAATTGTGTCCCTTAAAAATACAATTAAATCCCAGATATGTACAGATAATTCATACATTTGACAGAAAATTAATTTACTTCATGATTTCAGTTCTTTTTTTTTTTTTGGTAGTTGCACACAATCCCTTTATTTATTTATTTATTTTTTGTGTGGTGCTGAGGATCAAACCCAGGGCCTCACACGTGATAGGCAAACCTCTACCACTGAGCCACAACCTCAGCTCCTTCAGTTCTTAATTTTAAAATATTCCAGGATTAAGGATCTTAATCTTTTCTGGGCTTTTAAAAATATATATATATTTTTAAAGATTTGATGGACCTTTATTTTATTCATTTATTTATATGCAGTGCTAAGAATCAAATCCAGTGCTTCACACATGCTAGGCAAGTGCTCTACCACTGAGCCACAACCATGGCCCTTTTCTGGGCTTTAAAAAAAAATATTGTTTTGGTGCTGGGGGATTTGAACCCAGGACCTCATGCATGCCAGGCAAGCACCTGACCAGTGAGCCCCATCCCCAGCCCAGGATCTTGAGTTTTTTAAAGAAATAATAAATTCTTTCCCCAAATGAACTGAGTTGTACCTGGAATCGAGGTTTTGGTGGAGACTGAGAAAGGAGCTGTAGCCATCTGGGTGGTTTGTCAAGAGTTAGTTCGCGACAGGCTGCAGGAAAGCAGGGATCCTAAGGACCTGCCCTCCAAATTCCTTTATTCCCTGAAGGGAGAACTGCAGCTTGTACAATGCCTTGTCTGATGCTGTGGTCCCAGTTACCAGGTCACTGGAAATAATAGTGTGCCCAGCGTGGAAGGCGTGGCAGGCACTGTCCCTAACACCTTAAGGCACAGTAACTTAGTTAATCTTCAAGACAACTCCAAGAGGCAGGCATGACGATGATTCCCATCTTACAGATGGAGGAACCCAGGGACAGAGAGGTCTTGTGACCCCTTGGGTCATAGAGCTCTTAGAAGGCTCTGTCTTCTTAATTAGTTCTTCATTTTTTTGGTGGGGAGTACTGGGGCTTGACCTCAGGGGCACTCGACCACTGAGCCACATCCCAGCCCTGTTTTGTATTTTATTTAGAGATAGTTGAGTTGCTTAGCGCCTCACTTGTGCTGAGGCTGGCTTTGAACTCAGGATCCTCCTACCTCAGCCTCCTGAGCCTCTGGGATTACAGGCGTGCGCCACTGTGCCCGGCCCTCAATAGTTCTTCTTTACTCCAAACTCACCTGGCCTGTTCCATCAGCCAGGTTGGTGAGAGACCAGGTGTTCAGAGCTGGGCCACCAGGCTCTGGTCTCTGGCTGTGCCCAGCTGCATCAGCAACTGGCGGAATAAAAAAGGGGGCGTTTCCAACTCTCTACCTGGAAGCCTCAGAGTGGCCTTCTGTATAATGCAATCAGCTTTTCATAGAATACAGCACCTCTGTAGCTCTCTCTGAAAGGGGCCGACCCTCTTTAATGGAGATGCACTGTGGAAGCTCCCTATGAAAGGAGATTCTGCCCTGGCCGCCTGGTCTTGCTACCCTCATCCTCCCCTCTGGGTATCCTGTGGTCTCTGCTTTCCCTGGGCTCCTCCCTCCTTTATATCAAGGCTCAGGGTGGAGCCTGGGAACTTCTTGGTGGGTGTGACTTTCAGCCTCTGTCTAGTGTCACCGTCTCAGGGTCTGGGCCTGGGGTCTGGGCTCCCTCTCCTGCATTCTCTGGGAGGATGGACCTTCTTTCTTTCTTTTTTGTTAATATATATTTTTTGGTTGTTGATGGACCTTTATTTTATTTATTAATATGCGGTGCTGAGAATCGAACCCAGAGCCTCACAAGTGCCAGGCAAGTGCGCCACCGCGGAGCCCCAGCCCCGGCCCTGGACCCTCTTTCTTTCCATATGTCTCCAGCGACCTACTACCAGCCCACGGTGGTGACGACATACCAGCCGAGGGAGCCAGAAGATTCGCACCTGAAGGACAAGTTCAACTCTGGGAAGATTCAGGCCAAAGTCCGGTTCATGAGGGTATGAGGGGGCCTCTCCGCAGGCCCCTGAGCAGGGAGGGGCACCGAGGAGGCTCAGCGACCAGCTCTGAGCACCTCAGGGGGCCAGACTCACTTCTGCCTCACAGCAACTCCTGGGCACTCTGATCACTCCTGTTTTACAGGTGGGGACACTGAGGGACAGTAAGGTAAATGACTTGCAGCATGTCACACAGCAAGAAAATAGCATCCTAGGGGTCAAAGTCAGTTAAACTAAGTGCTTGCTCTTGTGATGAGACTCAGGGAAACAATCAGAATCACCTTTTATTTTGGTGCATTAGGAATCCCATCGAGTGGCTTTTTAAGGAATTTCCCATATGTTAACCTCATGGGTACAGTGAACACTGAGGCCCAGCTTAGAAGCTGACCCTTAAGATGTCCAATCAACTGATAGCATGGTCGTTAATTAATATTCCCATCATAGATTGTTTTGTGGTTTCTTTTATTATCTGAACAGCATTTCAAAGTATTTGAAAATGACTGAAGAGAGAGGAGTCTGCAGTATTCACAGCAGAAAGGGAAACACTGTTTTATAAATAGTACAAAATACTGCAGAAAAATTCTTTTTTTTTTCTTTTTCTTTTTTGGTACCAGGGTTGAACCCAGGGGTGCTTAACCACTTAGCCACATCCCAGCCCTTTTTATATTTTATTTACAGACAGGGTCTCATTGTTGCTTAGGGCCTCACTGAGTTGCTGAGGCTGGCTCTGAACTTGCAGACCTCCTGCCTCAGCCTCCCAAACCCTGGAATTATAGGTGTACAACACCATACCTGGTTAGAAGAATTCTTACTTCTTCAAGATTTTTTTTTAATAGTTCAATGAATGATGACTATAAAAGAAGAGGGAAAATGTATTTGTTTTAAAACCACTTTTTGCACTTTAGGGTTTAGTTTTGCAAAATTGTTTAGAGGGGGCCCAGCATTCTCAAAAAGGAGGTTTGTAGTTTCTGATATTACTTTTATCCTGACTTTATAGAGGTTTATTGTTTTTGTCCGATACAGAATGTGAATTTAGACAATTTAGCTGTAAAACTTGGGCTCCTAACCAGTTGATAACACTGTCTCTCAATACTTTCTCATTCATTTAGTCAAAAAATATTTATTGAGCACCTGCTATGTGCCAGGCCTTGTTCTGAGTACGAGGACCACCAGTGATGTGGCCTCTGACCTTAGGGAACTGACATTCTCCTGGGGGACACAGATGATAACCAGGGTGGATACGTGATGTGTCGTGATGATGAAAGCTATGAGGAAGCATGAGAATAAGATTAGGGGATTGGGCACAGTGGCACTAACCTGTAATCCCAGCAGCTCAGGAGGCTGAGGCAGGAGGATCGTGAGTTCAAAGCCAGCCTCAGCAACAGTGAGGTGTAAGCAACTCAGTGAGACCCTGTCTCTAATAAAATACCAAATAGGGCTGGGAATGTGGCTCAGTGGTTGAGTGCCCTGAGTTCAATCCCCAGTACCAAAAAAAAAAAAAAAAAGAATAAGGGGGTGGCAGTGACTGTTGGACAGGGTGCTCAGGGAAGGCTGCTGAGGTGCTCACCTTTGAGTTGAGACCTGAAGGAAGTAAGGAAGCAGCCACGTGCACATTTGAAAGAGGAATGTTTCAGGCTGAGGAACCTCAAGTGCAAAGGCCCTGGGGTTGGCGTGGCTGGAGTAATTTTTGGTGAGGCCCGATGGTGTGTTGGGGCAGAGGGACGCATGGCCCTGTAGTCATGATTAGCTCTTAAGTTCTTATGCTAAGACGGCCAGAATCTGGGGGATGTGACCTGATTTAGATTTTCAAAGGAATCCTTGGGTCGCTGCTGCCCTGTGGAGAATGGTCTGTGGGGCGAGGAGGAAGCAGGGAAAGAGCAGAAGTTGCCCAGGTGACTTGTTTTTAGAGCTAGGTTTTCAGCTGTCTTGTCCCTCAGCGTCACCAGGGGGATTAGTCATTCCATCCCGTGGAATGTGCCAGTGTTGGGATGCAGCCACCAACAAGGAGCTGAGATTTGTGCGGCCTCGGGGCTGATCCTTTTCCTGGGAGACATCATAAATGAATTAAAGGCCCCATAGAATAGTTGCCCATTCACTTACCCTACTGCAGGCATGGTTTACACGCTGGTGACACAGCTGTGACAAGACAGAGCCCCTGCCCTCCAGGCCGTGATATGCCAGGAGAAGGAGACAAGTAAGAAGAGAAAAAGAAAATGTCATGTCAGGTGATAAGTCCTAGGAGAAAAATCAGTTGGGAAAGGGGGAGACATAGTTAGGAGTCGGGTCGAATAAGTGCAAACTGAGATAAGGGTCAGAGAGAGAAACTGATCTGCCTTAGATCTGGTGGTCAGAGAGATCCTTACTAGAGCAGAGTCATTGCATTCTGTTTCCCAGGCTCACTCGGGAGTGGGTGTGTGATAATCATGCAGATTGCTGTGGCCAGCCCCATGGCGCAGGCTCAGTGGCCCGGGACTAGGAGATTGATGTTACTCCAAGACCTTGGTGGATACTTGGGTCTGGAGATGGGGAGGCAAGACAGCCAGAGGACAACAGCCCTGCTATGTGTGACCTTGAGTACGTTACTGAATCTGGTCCACGGGTTCCACTTTGTAAAGTGGGGCTAATAATAGTCCCCATCAGGGTCACTGAGGGGTGAGTGGCATGAAGTGCTGGCCTCACCCCAGACATTAGCATTATTACTGTTGTCATACAGGAGCTGAGGGCCAGGAGGGGCAGAGAAAGCAGGAGGAAAAGAAGGACTTGGAAGGAAGCCGGTCATGGTGACGCATGCCTGTAATCCCAGCAGCTCAGGAGGCTGAGGCAGGAGGATCATGAGTTCAAAGCCAGCCTCAGCAACAGCGAGGTGCTAAGCAACTCAGTGAGACCCTGTCTCTAAATAAAACACACAATAGGGCTGGGGGTCTGGCTCAGTGGTCAAGTGCCCCTGAGTTCAATCCTCAGTTACCCCCTTCCCCAAAAAGGACTATAAAATAGAGCAAAGGTTGTGCCCGGGTGGAGGCCCAGAGACCGCGATCAGTACTGTTCACTGAGCGCACCTGGGCCCTGCCATTAAGTGACTTGACTGTGAATTTATCTTCTTTCTTTCTTTTTTTTTTTTTTTTTTTGGGGGGGGGGGGGGTAATTGGGGATTGAATCCAGGGATGATTTGCCACTGAGCTGCTACATCCCCAGCCCTTTTTTTAAAAATTGATTTTGTTTTTTTAGATATACGACAGTGGAATGCATTACAATTCTTATTACCATATAGAGCACAATTTTTCATATCTTTTATATAAAGTATGTTCACGCCAATTCATGTCTTTATACATGTACTGTTTGTTTTTTTTGCATTACAATTCTTATTACACTTATATACCACAATTTTTCTTATCTCTGTTTGTATATAAAGTATGTTGACACCCAGTTCGTGTCTTTATACATGTACTTTGTATAATTTTTTATTTTGAGACAGCTCTCACTAAATTGCTTGGAGCCTCACTAAGTTGCTGAGGCTGGACTCAAACTTGGAATCCTTCTGCCTCAGCCTCCCTTAGGGTGCTGGGATTACAGGCGTGAGCTTCCTTTATGCTTTATGTTTCATAGCAGCTCTCTGAAGCAAGTCTTAGTTTCTGGCAGCTTTAGAATGAGTATAACCACGTTTTGGAAAGTTAATTAACATGTCTAAATTCCCTGAGATGGTAAGTGGCAGAGATTCGAACCAAGGTGTGTCTCGGCCTAATATCTAAGCCATAGTCACTGGTTCAGCCACTTCTTGCAGTTTTAAGCCCACTCAGTCCTTACCTTAGTGTAGTGAAAAGACCCTCTGTTTCCAATGCCAGAAGCAGCATTTCTTGGCTGTGTGACATTGAGCAAATCACTTAACCTCTCTGAGCCTCACTGAGCCTTCACAGCAAAATAGAATTAATAAACAGGGATGCTGAAGGTTGAACTGATACTATGTGCCACCTGCAGACAGGGCTCAGTGCAGAGAGGCATGCGATGATTGCTACTGATGCTGTTATTACTGTGGATTTTATGTGCCCAAGGTTGGCTGTGACCTCGGCAAGTCACTAACCTCCCTAGCCCTCGTCGTTTTCACAGGTGTGTTGCTTGAGGCCGGGGATAGTCCTTATCGTCATCCATTCTGCCCCTCCTTCCCCCGCAGACCTGGCCCATCACCTGGGGCGTTTATCCCTGTTATTTCTAGATTTCATTGATTTAAAAAGCCATGGATAGTAAGTGCACCTTTATTTTATTTAGTCACTAATGAAATCTGTCAATGAGAGGGTGACATGCCACCAACTGTAAGACGCATGCCCCCTTCAGAGGTGTGACTATGGGGAAATGTGCATTTCCGGACGGACGAAAGGGAACCCGGCCCGGGACTTGCAGGCGCCGGGCGGGCGAACAATGGGAACCTGGGAACCGCCGTCCTGCTCGGCGCACCGACCCGGGGAGGCCACAGGGGGCGGCCGATGGCGGCAGGCAGCGGTCCCCAGGTCCCTGGGCTCCGGCGTAGCGCCGCTCCCTTGCCGGCCCCCTCCCGCAGTCGATGGTCAGGAACCAGCGGACCTCGCTCCTGGAGATGCGCCAGCACAAGTTCTTCCTCGGCAAGCTGTGCGACAAGCTGGTGAGAGCCATCCAGGACACCGAGGACAGCACGGCCTTGCGCGTGCGGGCGATGCTGCAGCAGCAGGACACCCTGACGGTGAGCCCGCCCATCGCGCCCTCGCCTGGTCCCCCGGGTCCTTTACAGGCCGCTTCCTCCATCCAGATGGCGCCTCTAACACGCTTGGCCCCCCGGCCCGGGCTTTGGAATCCCAGAGCCGCCCATCCCAGGGCCAGCCGGAGCTCACTGGCTGACCTGTTGTGCAGGGCACAACCCAAAGCGGGTTACAGCTGGCACACGTGGTACCCGTGCAAGAGAAGGATGTGCCACCATTGCACACAGTCAGCAGCCCTCACAGGCGACTGCCCTGTTGGGTGGGCGCTATTATTATCCCATTTTACTAAGGACCAAATGGAAAGGCAGAAAGGCTGGGTCGCCCGCTCTAGGTCACCCAGCCACCAAGGGTCAGAGTTGGAATTGGAACCCAGGCACTCTGGCACCCCCATCTGGGCCCTTCCCATCCTGCTCTTGTGAGCACCCTCAGCCCAGCGGTGGCTCTTGAGGTCGGTGGGTGAAGAATGACCTGTGGAGAACCCAGGGAGCTTCCTGGGCCTCCTCTAGGAGAGGTTGGTGACACTGTAGTGAGAGGGCAGGAGGAGAGTTAGAGAAAATGGTTGAATGGACTGATGTCCCTCAACTGTAGTCTGTCTCCCTCAGGAGGAGGGGAACTGAGCACATCCAGAGTCTGAGAGAGAAAGTTCAGACTTCTTGGGGACCCTGTTGGTCGTTGGGACTGTCGTGATGAGATTCTGTAGACCACCAGTTTATTTTCTCACAGTTCTGGAGGCTGGGGGTTCAGAACCCAGGGGCCAGCAGGCGTGGTCCCCTGCTTCACCTGGACTGGAGGTGAACCCAGGGGTGCTCCATCACTGAACTGGATCCCCAGCCCTTTTCATTTTTTAATTTGAACAGTCTTGCTAAGTTGCCTAGACTGGCCTTGAATTTGCGATCCTCCTGGCTCAGCCTCCCACGTAGCTGGGATTCCAGGCGTGCATCCCCATGCCCAGCTGGCAGGGCTGGCTTCTGGCGCAGCCCCTCTTCCTGGTTTGCAGATGGAGGTCTTGTTGCTGTGCCCTCCTTTCCTCTATGTGCAGGGAGAGCGAGCACTGGTTTCTCTCCTTATAAGGACACCAGACCTGTCGGATGAGGGCCTACCTTTGTGACCTGGTTGAGCTTTAATTACTTCCTGAAAGGCCCTGTCCTGTCTCCAAATATAGTCATTTGGGGGCTGGGGTTCTAATCTGTGAATTTTGGGGGTAAACAGTTCAGCTTATAACAGGGACCAAGGCCAAGGACGTACACTTATAAGGAAACTTGGTAGAACCTTCTTCAGACCTTCCTCGGCTGGTCTGTTTATGCATCTTTTGTTCATCTTGGATGGTCCCGTGGCTCCTTGGGAATGGCCAACGGGAGACACCCTGTCTATGTCAAGCTTTTCCTTCCACTGGGGTCCCAGGCAGTTAGAAAGCCTGGAAAGTAAGAGGTAGGGGACTGGGGAACCCGGAGAGGGCCACTGACTGATACATGGGAACATTAGGGAGGCTTCTCACAGAAAATGATTCCTGAGCTGAAATCTGCAATACAGTTATGAACTGGTGGAGACCAGGTACGTGTTGCAGGCACAGAAAGAGACCTGGGAGGAGAGGGATCGGAACTGGCCCAGGAGCCATGTGAGGTGGTTGACAGTAGGTGCCAGGAAGAAATCTCAGGAGATGAGGTGGGTCCAGGCCAGATCAAGGAGGGCCCTGTCAGTCAAGGAGTCTGTGTGGGGCGGGTAGGAGCTGTTCTCCAGCCTCTGGTCAGGTTGCTGGGCTGAGGAAGTGCTGGATGGCCGCAGCCTGCCATGAGCCTGAGCCAGCAGAGGCGGGCGGGGGGCGGGGGGGAGGTGAGTTGACCCCACCCCACCACTCCCACAGAACATCATCGACATCCTGGAGTACTCCAACAAGAAGAGGATACAGCAATTGCAGTCTGAGCTCCAGGAGTGGGAAGATAAGGAGGAAAGCAAGATAAACTGTAAGAAGCGTTGGGACCAACGCCTTGTGCTCACCCCTGACCCCTTGGGGAGGACAGCTGGGGCATTCACCTGCACCCGCCTTTCAGAAGTCACTGGGTCCGCCCCTCCCTCCTAGGCTGATGGAGTTGCTCAGGGGTAGAGCTGATAGCTTGCTATCCAGCTCTTAGCACTTGCTAGGCCTCGTGTGTCTGCATTTTTCTGGGTGCACTCTCACACGGCCACTATAACCACCTGCAGAATGGGCTGCGTTCCCATTTTACAGATGAAGAAACCGCAGCTAAGGGAGGCAGAGTAGCCTGCTGAAGGTCACACAGCGGGGAGCCAGAACCCAGTTCTAGCCTGGCTCGCTCTATAAGGTCCCTCTGGGAGCCAGTGGTGGGCTAGGACCCAGGTCTCCTGGCTTCCAGCCCGCAGGGCTTTGAGCAGCCTAGAGGGGGCAGGGAGCAGTGTACCATGTAGGCTTAGACTTGGGGGCACCCCTCCACAGAGGAAGCAGGACAGAGCACTGGAGATTGTGTCCTGGGAGCCAGCGTGTCCTGTCTCCCTGGTCTCGGCTCCTTGGGAACATGTCTGAGGAGGTTGAAGTTCAGGGAGGAATGAGCTTGGGGGTGCCATGCCCGGCCAGCAGGGCTGGACTGCTCTAGGGATTTTTGTACGAGGGATTGAACTCAGGAGCTCACCCACGGAGCCACATCCCCAGCCCTATTTTGTATTTTATTTAGAGACAGGGTCTCACTGAGTTGCCTAAAGCCTCACTTTTGCTGAGGCTGGCTTTGAACTTGCAATCTTCCTGCCTCAGCCTCCCCAGCTGCTGGGATTACAGGCGAGATCCCCCGCAGATCCCCTGGGTCACTCTCTAGGGATGTGACTTTTCACCTCTTCCCAGGCTGTGTGAGCTCCTCTTAATGCAGACCCCAGCCTTTTGGCCTCCTGCCCCTCTGACTTTCCTCTCCACCCCTCCCAGGCCTGGAGCTGCAGGTGGAGCAGCTGAATGCCAAAGTCAAGAAGACCCAAGAGGAGGTGAACTTCCTGAGCACGTACATGCACCACGAGTACCCGGTCAGGTCTGTCCAGATCGCCAACCTTGTGCGCCAGCTTCAGCAGGCCAAAGACGACCAGCAGGTGGGGAGAGCCCCTGGCCCGGCTGCGCTGGAGCCTGAGGGAGGCTGGGCGGGCGGCCAACCCCCTTGTGCTGGCCCCAGGATGAGCTGGATAACCTTGCTGAGATGCGCAGAATGGCCCTGGAGTTGCTGTCCGCCAAGATTTGGAAGAAGAAGGAAAAAATCCTGAGGTCTCTGGCGATGGTGAGTGGCCAGCTGTGGGGGGTCTCTGGGTCCCACCCCAGCCCTGCCGCCTTCCCAGTCCTCTGCCTCCAGCACCTCCGTCCCTCAGCATGGCGCAGCTGCCCTGGAAGAGGTGCCCAGGGCCCAGGCCTCTCCCTTACCCACAGAGAACCCTGCAACCCCACGAGGAGGCCCTTCTGCAGAAGACCCAGGACAGCCAGTATAGGCAGAGGTGCAGAGGGACGGTCACGGAGGTGAGTGGACAGGAAGGTGATGGTCCCTCTGAGGGGTGGGGGTCCCCAGAGCCGCCCCCTGCAGCCGGTCCCTGTGCTCACTACCCCCTCAGCGTTTCCTCACCACAGGACACTGCCACTAGCTGGTGCTCTGGCCCCGTCCTGAACAGGGAGGTCTCCTCTGGAGTCCAGCCCATCCTGGGGACAAAACCCACATCGTGTCCCCAGATGTCCTTACTCCTGTGCATTCGCCCTTCTCTCCCTTTCATTGGGGGCCACCCGGCCTCTCCCTCCTCCCCCGCCATGCCCCACCCCTTAGTTCATTGACGAGCTGAAGGGGAGACTGCCCGAGCTGAAGGCCGAGGTGGAAGAGCTCCGGGCCCAGAGGCAGGAACCCCGAGAGGTCGTTTTCAAGGATGTTCTGCTTCGGAGACCCAAGTATGTGGTGCTTTTGCAGCTGGCCGTCTTTGGGGCTCCAGGAGATTCTCTGTTCTCAGGAAACTCAGCCTCGTGTGGATGGCAGGACCCGGCACAGGGAGGGAGGAGGCCTGGGTGTCCCCCTTGGCTCTGCCACTGGCCACAGGCCGACGGGACCTTTCCCATCACGGGGTCTCATTTTCCCATGGCTAGGCAATCCCTAAGGACCCATCTGCTTCCCAGAGTCCAAGTGTCAACCTTGTGGGCTGTCGAAGAAGGCAGAGTTGAGGGGGGTGGTTGGTTGTGTCACCACGAGGAGACACGCTTGTCACTCATCCGGGAGGGAGCTGAGGCTGGAGACACAGCCTGAGGAGAGAAGGATGCCCCCAGTCCTTTCAGGCTTCTTCCCTTCCAGAACCAATTCTCTGCCTGCTCTCTTGGACCAGGCCCTCTGTGGTTGGGCTGGGGGTCCCCCGGCCAGGCTTCTCCATGTCAGCACTACAGGACTCTGGGTGGTAGAGCTGGTATTGGAGAATTATTTAATTTTCCTTCTTCATCTCTATGTCTTCATCTCTTCCTCTTCCTGAGTTTATGAAGTGCCTGTGAAGAGCCAGGCACCATGTGAATGAAAGGGACCTTTGGTCCTGCCACCATGGAGTTGAGGAGGGAACCAGACAGACATTAATGGACAATAAGACACAGATGTAGCCAGGCACAGTGGTGCACACTTGTAATCCCAGTGACTCAGGAGGCTGAGGCAGGAGGATTGCAAGTTCGAAGCCAGCCTCAGCAATTTGGCAAGGCCCTCAGCAACTTAGTTAGACTCTGTCTCAAAATTTAAAAACTTAATAAATAAAAAGGACTGGGGATGTGACTCAGTGATAGAGCACCCCTGGGTTCCGTCCCCAGTACCAGGTAACACCACCACCGCCACCAACAACAATAAGACACAGATGTACAGAACTGTCAAGGGGAGAAGTCCATGGTCCTGGGAGAGTGTGTCCCACGGTAGTTGGCCTGGGGCAGTCGAGGAAGGTTTCCCTGAGGATGTGACATTGAACCAAGGTCTGAAGTTTGTGTAGAAGCTCACCAGGCGAAGGGCCGGAGAGGAAGCGACTCTTGGTGGCGGTGCTGGGGTCTCTGGGGTGGCACACGTAGGTGCCCACTGCCTTGACCTGGGACCTGCACACATTGAAAGGAGAGTGAGGGGGCGAGGGTGATGTGGGCTAGGGTACCAGGTTTTTTTTTTTTCTGCTGAAGCTGATTTAGAGAATGTGGCTTATATTTCCAGCCACGTTGGCTTCTGAATACTGAACCCAAAATTAGGCAGATGGAGCCACCTGGCCGTGGTGGAGCTGGACACGGGCGGGGGGGAAGCCAGTCCTTGTGGGCAGCTTGTTGCTGAGAGGAGAGCGGGTAGCCCTTGCTGTGGGCCCCCCTTGCCAGGCTCACCGTCCAGGTAGACCTACCCCCTCTGCAGGAGCAGAGGAGTAAAGGGGCAAAGAGGCCGAGGGCAGTGCCCCCACCCACATCTTCCTGAAGGAAGACACCATCAGGAACGCCCAGCAGCTTTCCCTTCCCAGAGCGTGGGCACGGCGGGCTGCCCAGCAGACATTTTCAAACTCGAAGATGCGCAGCCATCACCTGCACACCTGGACATCTTTTTTTTTTTTTTTTTTTGTACTGGGGATCGAATCCAGGGGTGCTCTACCACTGAGCTGTATCCCTAGCCCTTTTATTTTTTCATTTTGAGACAGGGCCTTACTAAGTGGCCCAGTCTGGCCTTCCATTCTTGCGATCCCCCTCCTCAGCCTCCTGAGTAGCCGGGGTTACAGGCAAGCGCCTCTGCACCCGACTCACCCAGAGCTCTTGTTAAAAAGCAGATTCTAAACCAGGAGGCTGCGGTGGGCCCTGGGTTCTGTATCATGGAGAAATTCTTGGGTGATGCTGCTGCTGTCCCCAGCCAGTGGGCCACGGGCAAGGCTGTGAGGATCGGGTAGGCACCTCCTGGGCATTTATGCCAGGAGTGCAGCTGGAATTCAGAGTGATGGGGAGAATTTGGGAAGGAGTCAGCAGCTGTGCCCCTGGGGGCCTCCAGGCAGGGCCCAGCAGGCCACGGTTTGTACCTGATCCTACAAGCAGAGGATCTGTATCCCCAAAATGTCATTTTGAAAACAGCACGGAGGTTGGAGAAGAGCCAGAGTGGGAGCTGGGAGTCTGGCTGGGTGTGGTGGCAGTGGTCCTGGGGAGCGCTGGGAGTGGCCTGGCCAAGTGGGTGACAGAGGAGAGGGGAGGACTGGGTGGGTTGGAGAAATGTCTAAGAAGGGAACATCTGTAGGACTGGGGGTGTCTGGGAGTGGGAAGTACAGGGCGGGGAGACACCAGGAATGACCCCCAGGTTCCTGGCTCTTCTAAGAGTGGCTGCTGGTGCTGAATCTGGAGATGAGGAAGGCCAGGGGTGGGCGAGGGATGGAGGCGTCAGGGCAGCCGAGAGGTGACCTGGATGGGACCTGCACGTAGAGCCATCAAGCAACAACTGAGTAGATGAGTGTAGACTTCAGGACAGATGTGGGGAGATAGCGATTTGGGTGTTGCCAGGGTAGAGATGCACCTTTTAAAACAATCAGGACAAATTGTCCAATATATAGAAAAGCAGAGAGAATGAGACAAAGAATACCCAGCTCCCATCTCGGTTTAGAAATAGTCACATTTTTTGCCATGTTAGCCTCATCTTTATTCTTTCCTTTTAAATTTTGGCTGAAGTATTGTAAATTGCAGACATCCCGACATTTCACACCTAAATGCTTTTGTGTGTGTCAAGGGATGATTGAAACTGAGTGGATGCTCTGCTTGGGAGACAGTGGAGAGAGGACCTGATCCTGCAGCCTCTTACATGGCCATTCGGTCACTGTGACAGGGAATCTGCTGCTGATGGCAACCCCCCTCTCCTGCTGCTTTCATGGGAAAAAGACTGTGTCACCTCCACTGAACAGTTGCTGTAGGCTGACACATAATTTGGTTTCATTAAATCTCTTGCCAATGACTGAGCTTGGACTTACCACCCCCACTTGACAGATGAGGAAACCCAGGCTTGCTTGTGTTCTGGCACACAGGTGCTGTCACCTTGGTGCCGACTGAAGGAGTGAGACTCCTGGGGGAGAAATAGCTCGCTCGAGGTGACACAGGGCGAGTCCTGACTTCGAAGAGAGTGGTTGTCCTGAGGAACCTCAGTGCATCTGAGTTGAGCTCCTGCCCCCTCCTGACCTTGGTCCTCTGTAGTGGAACATTAGTCCTGCCAAACTCATTTCTTCTCCATTTTTGACATTTGTGTGTGTGTGTGTGTGTGTATGTGTAGCTGCGCACAGTTGGTCTTGGGGTGCCCCACCCCGTTCTGAGGGTTTGCTATCCCATCCCCCAACTCTGTCCCCCGGTTGCCCTTCCACACTCCTCTTTGCTGCTTCCCTCCAGATGCACCCCAGACATGGACGTGGTCCTCAACCTTCCAGAAGAAGAGCTCCTCTTCTAGAGGATGCCGCGGCCGCCCTCCGCCCCCCTTCCCAGCACCTGGAGCCTGAATGGGTTCACTTCCAGCCTGAGTCTCCGTTCAGACCCTGCTCTGAGTCCTTCCTCACCCTCCTCCCCTCCTTTCCTGTATACAATGATTTCTTTCCCTTCTCTTTCTCTCCCTTTTCTGCAGTGGCCCTGCCCCCCAGGCCAGCTGGGGATTCCCAGTTAAAATTTCCATTCCTTTCTACCAATAAAGCCGGGTCTGCATTGCTCTGTGCTGGTGTGTGGGGTCCCAGGCCTGCAGAAGGCGGGATAGGGATGGATTTTGCCTTGAGATGAAGGGTGGCCAGCCATGGTGACTGTACTGGGGTTCAGGACTTCTCCAGAAGAAGTGCTGGAGTGACACCTCCCCTCCACCCCCGCCAGCTCTGCATCCCCATGGCTGCCACCTGGTGCAGTGGGAACCCGGCTTCCCTTGTAGTTTGTGCCTAGAGCTGCTGAGGACAGTGCCAAGGCAGAGGGGAGGCTCCTTCAGTTCAGCACACCTGGGAACTTGTCTACACGGCTGGTGGCCACGCAGTCCAGCCATCTGACTGTCCACCACCTCTGCCCCAACTGCAGAGGGACACAAACCCAAACTCACGCCCAAGGGCAGAGCTCTGTGCCGCTGCAGACCCTGCTGTGGTGGACTTGGAGATGCATGGCCTGGGTCCCCCTTGGAGCAAGCACTTGAAGGTCCTGTTGGCAGGTATCCTAGGCAGCCAGCCAGACCCTCAGGGTCAGATCCTCAGAGACTATCTCAGCTGCAGAGAGCCACTTGCCCAAGGTCAACCCTTCCCACATCCAGTGACTGTGCAATGTGCAAGGTCAAAGGCCCAGATATCTTAGTCCAGCTTGGAACAACTCGGAGGGAAGAAATAGCTTGCTCAAGGTGACAGAGCAAGGCGTCCTGACTCCAAAGAGGATGATCGTCCTCAGGAACCTCAGGAATTGAACTCCTGCTCCTCCTTTTTTTTTTTTAATATTTATTTTTGGGGCTGGGGATGTGGCTCAAGCGGTAGCGCGCTCGCCTGGCATGCGTGCAGCCTGGGTTTGATCCTCAGCACCACATACAAAGAAAGATGTTGTGTCCGCCAAAAACTAAAAAATAAATACTAAAAATTAAAAAAAAATATTTTTTAGTTGTAGTTGGACATAATACCTTTATTTTTTTTATATGGTGCTGAGGATCGAACCCAGGGCCTCGCACGTGCTAGGCGAGCGTTCTACTGCTGAGCCCCAGCCCTCCTGCTTCCTCTTGACCTTAATCCAAATACTTAAATGTTCTCGCCCCAGAGCTGCCTGGAGGGTTGGCAGAAGCTGTCCTGGGTCTGTGCTGCTGCCCAGCCTGCGTCTTCCTCAGCTGATGCCCAGGGTGCTGAACCACCTGCACCCTCCACTCCATCTCAGAGGACCCAGGTGCCACAACTAGGAGCTTCTGTCCTCTCTCACATCATCTTGTACAATCGGAGACTTGGTTAGAGAGAACGGAACAACTGACTTGGTCTAAATGATGACATAATCAGGCTTTATCCAGAAGTTGAATGATGGCACCAAGGACCCTGTCCAAGGTGTCGTCCTTTTTTTAAAATTTTTTTTTTTTTTTTTTTTTGGTACTGGGACTTGAACTCAGGGGCACTTGACCACTGAGCCACATCCCCAGCCCTTTTCTGCATTTTGTTGAGAGACAGGGTCTCACTGAGTTGCTTAGCTCCTCGCTTTTGTTGAGGCTGGCTTTGAACTTTCGATCCTCCTGCCTCAGCCTGTGGAGCTGCTGGGATTTCAGGCATGTACCACCACACCTGGCCCGAAGTGTCCTCCTCCTAAGGTTGGTGCTGCTGGTGGTCCTAGTGTGCCAGCATCTCCTGCAGCTGTGCTGTTCCTTGTTCAGCCCTGCAGGAAGAGAAAGGATGCTCTGCCCCAGACTCCAGCCAACTGCTTCTATTACATGTCCATCTAGAGAGGGTGGAGAGGGGAAGGTCTAGTCCAGGTCCCATGCTCTGGAGGCCAGTAGGCCTTCTCCAGAACCATCCATCTCCAAGCAAATTGACAGTGTTGAACATAATAGCAAATACTTAAATGGAACTGACTCTTCTGTACGTGTATCAACTCACTAAATCCACAAGAGCAACCCTGGGAGACAAACATTGGTCCCGCTTCTGTTTTTTAAATGAAGAAACCTGAAGAGATGAAGTAACCCCCACCCCCCCCACCCCCACAAATCACCACTAGTAAGTGGTCGAGGCAGTTTGCTTTAACTGCTGTGCTGTCAGGAGCTCATGTGAGCTGGAGACTGTCTCTTAACACAAGCGTTCTTGACCATTAGAGTACTGCTGTGGTTTGAATGTTTGTCTCCCCCAAATTCATTGAAAATTTATTCCTAAAGTAAAGGGCTTTTGGGGAGTGGTGAAGCTATGAAGGGTCTTCTCTTATGAATGTAAGTAATGCCCTTAGAAAAGGGTTTGAGGGAGGGGGTGTGGTGGGGCACACCTGTAATCCCAGTGACTCAGGAGGCTGAGGCAGAAGGACTGCAAGTTCAAGGCCAGCCTCAGCAATTTAGTGAGGCCCTGTCTCAAGAAGATATAATAAATAGTTGGGGATGTAGCTCAGTGGTAGAGCACCCTTTGGTTCAATCCCCTGGATCAAAAAACAAAGGGCTTGAGGGGAACAAGTTTGTCCCTATTGTGAGGACAGGGTTTGCCCTTTCTTTCATGAGAGGATGCAGCAAGAAGACACCATGTTGGAGAGCAAGCCTTTATGGCTGCTGAATCTCTGGCAGCAGAGATTCATCGTCAACTTCCCAGCCTCCCAGGGCTTCCCAGAACTGAGAAATAAATGTCTGTTGTTTATAAATGACTCAGTCTAATTAAAAAAAAAACCAGCTGGGTGCGGTGATGCATACTTATAATCCTGCAGCTCCGGAGGCTGAGGCAGGAGGACTGCAAGTTTGTAGCCAGACTCAGCAAAAGTGCAGTGCTAAGCAACTCTGTGATCCAGTGCCCCTGAGTTCAATCCCTGGTACTTGCAACACCCCTACCTCACCACCACCAAAAAAAAATCCACCCTAATGGATCGAGACAGGTAAGCTGAGTATTTCCAAAATCATGAAGTCCTGGTTTCAGGTCGACAGTTCCTCCCTCAATTTCTCTCTCTCCTTCCACATAAAGAAGACAGCAACCTTCACCTCCAGAACATTTCTTGGAAATCTTCTCATGTGAAATATCCAAGGTCATCACTTATCCAAGTTGTGCTTTCCACATAGCAGGACACAGTGCCCTTCAGCTTTCGGCCACTATATCATAACCATCTCCTTTCCTCCTGTTTCCAATAAAACATTTCACATTTTTTTTTCTGAGTCCTCCCCAGTAGCATCTTTACCATCTCATTTCTACAGTCTGTTCACAACAGTTTAGATATCTTCTAAAGGGACTGAAGTCTCCTCTGCTTTCTCGCTCTTCTGCTTTTTAAGACCAGGCACAATTGCCTTGGGCCCCCATATAGTCCAGGAGGGTCTCAGTCATCCCACAACAGCCTTAATTTTACCTGCAACCTCAATTTCTCCTTGTCTCAAAGGTCCAGGGATTAGGATGTGAGCATCTTGAGGGGAGCGTTAATCTGCCTGTCACAGCCCTCTGACCATATCTCGCCTCAAAAGAAGCCCCTCTCCTCCACGCCAGGAGTCTCTTGTCCCCAAGGCCCTCCTAAGGCTCTGGAAACCTTTGGGGGCCTCCCGGGTCCAGGCTGGCTGGTGCCCTAGACCTTGGGCCAGGTCTGGGACACACCCTCCTTTCCTCTCTTGCTCTGCAGCAACCCAAGTTCCCAGCATCACAGAGACAGGACTTTGCCCCAGATAAATCACATCTAGATGGGCTTGTCAAATGGCGCTTGGTTTTCAGAAGTGCCACTCCCACACACCCTCTCATGGACAGTCAGGGAGCCTGCCTATATACTTCTTTTTGTTTGTTTGTGGAAACACTGCTGGGGATGGAACCCAGGGCCTTGCACATGCAAGGCAAGCTCTCTTCCGTTGAGTTATACCCCAGCCTCTGAAATATGATTGTGCAAAGCCTCTAACAGGGAGTCATCAGCTTGGGTTGGTCCACCATTTTTGTTTTCCCTTCTGTGCATCCACTTGGGAAATCAAGGTGGGAATTCTGTTCTCAGTTGCACAGAAGTGCTGAATAGAAAGGCACTTTTGGTGGGTGGTAGACACGTAGTTATAGGCTAAATGCAGAAGCTGAAGCTTAAATATGTAACGGCCCAACAGTGTCTATATGAGGCAGCAGGGTTGCAAGACAGTTGTGCCTGGATGCTACTTGTTCTGGCTGAGTATGTCTGTGCTGGCCAATGCAACCAATGGGAAACAAATGCAGATGGGTTGGGGAAATACCAAGCAACTGATACCAGTGTCACCTTGAAAGGAAAGCCCAACAGGCGGAAGAGTCTGTGGGGGGGAGGCAGCTTACATGGGGCTTGTCAGGCAGGGTTTTTTTTTAGTCCAAGTTAGGATCCCAGATCATGGTGGGGGCCCCAAGAGAGGCTGTTTCATGCACAGCCTTCTGGAGGGGTGGTTTTATCTCAGAAGTCCCATGGGTGGATAGGTGTTGTCATCTCAGGTACCACGGTTCAGAGTCTAAGTCTTTAGAATCTAGTGGGATCCAGCGCCAGAGGGGCAAGGAGAGTTAGCCTCCTCCAGGATCTTGAGGCAGAGAGCTTGGTTAGGCAGAAGGTCATAGTCATGGACACATTTACTCAGCATATTAATGAATTTGTCATTTGATCTCCATTGTTGGGAGGTCATTCCCTTAAGGGGCTCCTGCATGGGGGGGTCTTAGGCACTCTAGTGCAACTTCCAGGTGAGGTGTGGTTTCTGGTATGGGGAGGAGGAGCTCATCTTCTTGGTTCTAGAGTGTGACCAGCCCAATAAAACCTGATATCAGTGAGGATGAAAGATGAGTGTCCCACGCCCATGTCTGAAGC